GGGTTTAATATTTTTCCTAGAACTTTTTTTTTTTTTTTTTTTTTTTTTTTTTTTTTTTTTTTTTTTTTTTTTTAAAAAAAAAAAAAAAAAAAAAAAAAAAAGTTGGGTTCAAACCAGCCCAGCGGCCTGATAACAAACTACAAAAAAAAAAGAGGAAATCCTGAGGGAACAAGCCCAGAGTGGGTTCTGTCTGTCTCCTCACACAGACCGAGCAGAAAAGGCAGAAAGAAAATTCGTAATCAGCACGGAGCTAAAATAATTCAGACAGTTACTAATCTGAGATACCTGCCTGGAGAAGTAAAACCTTTAAACAAATCCTCCCGTCGCTACTAGCATTTAAAAATTACTCCTTCAGCTCCGTGTTCTGCACTGAGCTTCTGCTCCAAACGTTTTTCTAAATGTCTCTACAAAGTGCTTGCTTCTTGCTTTCCTTCCCTCCTTCCTTCTTTCCTTCCTTCCTTCCCTCCTTGGGCTCTGCAGCCCAGGGAAACCGGTGGGCTCCTCTCTCGGGAGCCCCCAGACTCCAGCAGCTCTTCCCTCTCCTGCTTGTCCCGGCTGCGGGAGGTGAATTCCCTCGGGGGGGAAGACCCCCCCGCTGGCTCCTGGACACCTTCCCTCCCGGGAATCCCACCCCAGCTCCATCCTGGATGCTGCTCCTGCCCGGGCAGGCAGCCCTTTCCCCCCCCCGCAGCCCCTGGTACCCACCGCTACCCGGGTACCGCAGCGAGTGCCCGGCCGGAGGGATGCGGAGGGGGAGGAAAAACCTGGAAAAGCGGAGGGAAAAAGCCGGGAAGAGCCGGGAAAAGCTGCGGGAAGGTGGGACGGCTCGGCAGGTGCGGGGAAAAGCCGCGGCAGGTGTAAAAAGGCTGCGTGGGAAGGGCGATTGCTGCTCTTCCCCCCCCCCTCCCCACAGATGCGGGGAATTAAGGGCGTTAGGAAAAAAAAAAAGTCCTTACAAAAAGGCACCGGGAAAAGCGTTTGGAGATAAGCGGCTCGGGGAAGGGAATTAAAATAAAGGAGCGCAGGTGGCGGCGATTTATATCATTTAAGGGTTAAAATCGGCAGCGACTCACTCCCGCGCCCGGACCCCGCTAATTGCCCGCGGCCGCACCGACTTGGATTCCTTCTCCCAACTCTTTAATTAGTATTTGGAGGTGGTGGTGGGGGGACACACACACTTCCCAACCGTCGCCACCGGGCGAGCACCCCCGGGGCGGGGGGGTGGCCACACACATCCCACCGCCTTCCCTGTCGCCGGTTTGGTGGTTTTTTTTTTCGGGCATCCTTCTCCCGCAAAGTTTCCGAAGCGCGGCGGGTGATGCCGGCAAAGGCGCCTGGCTCTGCCGGGAAGCATCCCCAGCATCCCGGAGTTGGGTTTTTTTGGGGGGGAAAAGCGGGCTCTGAGTTGGCGAACCCCGGGAAGAAGCAGTTCGCCTCCCCCCGACCCCCCTCCTCTGGGTTAGGAATTAATTAGACACCCCACACACACGCTAAATCTTAAGGATTTGCCGAAGGAAAGGCTGGCGGGAGGAAGGAGGGATGCTCCCGGAGGGGGCTGGATGCTGCCCCCCCGGCAAAACAAAAAGAAAAGAGGAAAAGGATGTTGGAAAGGACCAACCTCGCAGCCTCTTCATCCTCCTCTTCCTCCCGCAGGGCCGGCGCGTCCCGCCGCAGGCGTTTACCGGGAGGAAGCTGCCCCATCCATCCTCCTCCTCCTCCTCCTCCTCCTTCCTCCTCCTCGGCAGTTTATTACTACACTGTCAGAGGCTATTGTCCTCTGCGGGCAAAGGGGACGGCGGCCGGTGCTGCTTCCCGCTTGGACAGAAAGAAGACGAGATTCTATTCGTTTACACGTTTTATTGTTGTAAACATTAAAATCGTCTTTCTCAAAGAAAGAGTTCTCGGCAGGGAAAAAAAAAAAATAAAAAATTTAAATTAAATTAAATCAGCGTTTCTAACTGTCATACACCATAGTAAAAAATAAAAAAAAAAAAAAAATAAAAAAAGCAGTGACTTGTATCATGTGCCACAGGGGAAATATACAAATTAAAAATACTACAGAATATGGCAATATTAAAAATATTACTCCAACATAAAATAATATATTAACCGACAATTTTAGACATTAAAAAAAAAAAACAAAACCCAAACGGAACAAAACAAACCAAAAATTCAAAGTGCTCAGTAATTTCCAGGGAGTTATGTATATTATAAGCACTCTGGAAACAGTCAAAAGCTGCTGCATGCAAGATTTGTTTAGCTTTAGACAACAAAATAATCAAGATATAAACTTCTTTTTTTAATCAACATCAACAGTACATACAACACTTACAAACAAGGAATGTCGGACGGTGTTTACAAACACTATGTGTCCCTTTGGGGAGGATTTCGGGTTCTGTAATACTTGTGCCCACCTATTTTACAATTGAGAAAACGTTTGAAGCTTAGATAACTACCAGTCTTTATAAAAGCTAACAGACTACATAGTGTCTGAAATACTATTTATAGAATATAGACATTACTGAAATAGCAAGTGCCTATAACATCCTCACCCTAGAATCGTCATGCTTTCCTGGTACGGAGGAGAGATTTATTTTTCTTTCTCTTTATTCTCCTGTTAAAATTTTTTTTCCTCTTTTTTTATTTTTTTTTTTTTTTTGCAAACACGTTTAGCTTTTCTTTTTAATTTATTTATTTCTTTTTTTTTTTTTTTCTTTCCTTTTCCTTAGAATCGTTTCCCATATTTCTCCATAAATAGGCACAGGATAATTTTTTAAAAAGCCAAACCGCATCTGATAAATTTACAAGCCTTCGCCTTCTTCAATGACATGCCACCCACGCAACACTGAGGGGTTGTATATATTACAGCTTTCTTTTACAGCAGAAAACTTTAGTCTTTAGGAGGGTGGGGACTCGTGGGTCACCTTTAACGCTTCCTTTGTCACCGCGTGAGTCTGAGCCGCGCACCCGGCGTCGCCAGATGTGGGCATCGGTTTAGTCAGAGGTCCTCAGTAATAAATTCATTTATAAGCTGATAATAAAAAGTTTATACCATGGTGTTTGTGTAGTCCGTGAGCTGCATCCGTGATGCCCCCGAGAGCCAAAAAAACCCGCCCCTCCGCGCGCTGCCCCACACAGGGGGGTGGTGACACTGGTGGGGATGGGGGGGCCGGCACCCCCAGGCGCCGCGCTGGGGCCCAGGCCAACTGCCCCCCTCTCAGGCAGGTGACGTTTCTCTCCAGTTCACTGGCCGCGGCCTTGGGGGAAGAGTCTTAAAAAGGTAAAGTGTCCAGAAAAAGTTTGTCGATTATTGCTGGCGGCGGCACCAAATCCTCCAGTTTCAGGTAGAAAATGCGCTGCAGCCCCTGCGTGCAAAGCGTGCGGAGTTCGGGGAGCTTCCCCAAGAGTTTGGACAAATAGTTGGGGCGATTCAGCCCCCCGTTATTAAAAGTCACGTGGTCTTTGAGGCAGTTCACAATCTTGTTCTGAAGTTCTTCCACCCTCTTGGGTTCCTTCAGCCCGTGCCTCTCTGCAAGGAGAAGGATGCGGTCAGAGGTGGGACGGGGATGGGGGTTGGGGGGGGTAGGGGCTACAGTGAGATGTTGGGGGGACACACACACACCGACCTGTGACCATGGCCAGGGCAGCAATGCAAGAGAAGGCCGAGATGTCGATGTTCATGTTTTGCAAGTTGGAGGAGAACTCCACGATGGAGTCGATCCACTCCCCGAAGCCGCGGACGCACTGCAGGCGGTGCAGCACCACCCCGTTGCAGAAGATGAGCTTCCCCTCCACCGGGTTGGACCTGCAGGGAACGGCACGGAACGGCCCCCGGTCAACGGGGTGAGGAAGGGAGGAAGGAAGGGGGGAAGGAAACTCAGGAAGAGAAAAGGAAATAAAAGAGAGAGAAGGAAAAAGGAGAGAGAAATTGTTAAAAAAAGAGGAGAGAAAGGAGAAAAAGAGAGAAAGAAAAATAAAATAGAGAAGAGAGAAGCAAGAGAGAAGCAAGAGAGAAGCAAGAGAGAAGCAAGAGAGAAGCAAGAGAGAAGCAAGAGAGAAAGAAAAATAAAATAGAGAAGAGAAGAGAAGAGAGAAGAGAAGAGAGAAGAGAAGAGAGAAGAGAAGAGAGAAGAGAAGAGAGAAGAGAAGAGAGAAGAGAAGAGAGAAGAGAAGAGAGAAGAGAAGAGAGAAGAGAAAAGAGAAGAGAAGAGAAGAGAAGAGAAGAGAAGAGAAGAGAAGAGAAGAGAAGAGAAGAGAAGAGAAGAGAAGAGAAGAGAAGAGAAGAGAAGAGAAGAGAAGAGAAGAGAAGAGAAGAGAAGAGAAGAGAAGAGAAGAGAAGAGAAGAGAAGAGAAGAGAAGAGAAGAGAAGAGAAGAGAAGAGAAGAGAAGAGAAGAGAAGAGAGAGTGAAAAAGAAAAAAGACAGAGAAAGGGAAAGATAAGAAAACAAAAAGAGAGGAAGCAAAAAAACAAAAAGAGAGGAAGCAAAAAAACAAAAAGAGAGGAAGCAAAAAAACAAAAAGAGAGGAAGCAAAAAAACAAAAAGAAAGAAAGGGGAAGAGAAGAAAACAAAGAGAAAGGGGAAGAGGAAAAAAGAAAAAGAGGGAAAGGGAAAGAGAGAAAGAGGGAAGGGAAAGAGAGAAAGAGGAAAGGGAAAGAGAGAAAGAGGAAAGACGAAATGAAAGGAAAATAAAGATTAAAAAGGAAAGGGAAAGAGGAAGGAGGAAATGAAAGGAAAATAAAGATTAAAAAGAAAAAGAAAAAGAGAGAAGATGGGGGGAGAAGAAAAGCTAAACAACTAATTACTTGAGGAGCAATAAATGAAGGATTTAAGAGGCACCTAATTACCGAGGAGTTAATAAAACGCAGATCAGTGGACCTTGAAAGGATCTGATTTTCATAACCGCCCCGAAGCCCCCTTGAGTGTGTGTGTGTGTGTCCCTCGGCCACCCCCCCGGGGCTCACCTGTAGGCCAGCCGTAGCACGAAGAGCTCCAGGAAGGCTGATTCGAAGAGCAGATCCTGGTCTGTTTTGGGCAGGTCGGTGAACCCGGGTATTTTTTCCGCCCAACCCCGGATGATCTCCATGGAGCCCGTCAGGAGGTCGTAGAACTGTTGGATGTGTTGGGTGTCGTCCCCGCTCAGCTGGTAGTCGGGGTTGGCCTGGAACTGGGAAAATCCATTTCAAATAATAAAAAAATAATTTAAAAAAAAAAGCTTTTAATGAGGTTCTGAAATGGCTAAACCCCTCAAAGAACAGCCCCTTGGCCGCTCGGGCTCGGTGCTGGCCCGCTGCGGCCCCCTCCGGGGCCGCATCGGGCCAGCACCGAACCCGAGCGGCCTTCCCCCCCGGGACCACCGGAGGGTTGGGTGGACACAAGGAGGTCCCTACGCGAGCTCGGTCCAGCTTACCCTGGAATAGTCCAGGCTGGTCATAGCCGGGTTGGAGTCGACATGGGCTCTCACCAAATAATAAAAAAATAATTTAAAAAAAAAAGCTTTTAATGAGGTTCTGAAATGGCTAAACCCCTCAAAGAACAGCCCCTTGGCCGCTCGGGCTCGGTGCTGGCCCGCTGCGGCCCCCTCCGGGGCCGCATCGGGCCAGCACCGAACCCGAGCGGCCTTCCCCCCCGGGACCACCGGAGGGTTGGGTGGACACAAGGAGGTCCCTACGCGAGCTCGGTCCAGCTTACCCTGGAATAGTCCAGGCTGGTCATAGCCGGGTTGGAGTCGACATGGGCTCTCACCAACGCACTGATCAGACTCACCGGGGGAGAGGGGGGAGAGGGCTCCTGGGGGCTCTTCGGTTTGGATGGCAAGCGACCCCTCCGGCCTTTGAGGCTGTCTGTGCGCACCACTGCGAGGGGAGAGAGAGAGAGGGATGGGGTGATGGAGGGAGATGGTGGTGGTAGTGGTGGGGTGGGTCATGGGCATGCCTCGGTTGCCCCGCTAGCCCAAGCTGGGGGTGTGCTAGCCCCCCCGGTGACTCACCCTCCTTGACCATGCCGACGGCCAGGCACTTCTGGAAGCGGCAGTACTGGCACCGGTTGCGCCGGCGCTTGTCCACCGGGCAGTTCTTGTTGGCCAAGCAGACGTACTTGGCGTTCTTCTGCACCGTGCGCTGTTGGGGGGGGGACACGGGACGGGACGGGTCAGAGGACAGGGCCTGCACACCCCGCTCCCCGGCCCCCGACGCCTCCCCGGCCCCTCTCGCTATCTCTTCTCCCTCTTTCCCATCCCACCTGTCTTTTTCCCCCACACACATCTTTTCCTCTTATTTTCTTTCTTCTTCTTTCTTTTTTTATCTTTTTTTCTTTCTTTATCTTTTTTTCTTTCTTTATCTTTTTTCTTTTTTCCCCTTCCTTTTATCTCTTCTTTTTCCCTTTCTTTACTTGCCCTTTCTTTTTTAATTGTTTTCCTTTCATTATTTCCTTCTTGTTTTACCACCTTTTTTTTTCCTTTCTTTATTTCCCCTTTCCTTTTTCACTTTTTTCTTCTTATTTTTCCCTTCTTTTTTATCACCTTTCTTCTTTCCTTGATTTTTTTCCCCTTCCTTTTTCCACTTTTTTTCCTTTCATTTTTCCCTTCTTTTTTTTAAATCCCCTTTCTTTCTTCCCTTTCTCCTTTCTTCATTTTCCCCTTTCTTTTTCCCCTTTTTTCCTTTCATTTTTTCCCTTCCTTTTTTTATCCCCCATTTTTTTTCCATTTCTTTTTTCCCCTTTCTTTTTTCTCCTTTTTCCCCTTTCCTTCTTTTCCTCATTTCTTTTTTCCCCTTTTTTTCTTTCTTTTTTATTTTCTCATTTTTCCTTTCCCCCCCCCCCTTTTTTTTTTCTTTTTTCCCTTTTTTTTTTTTCCTTTTCTCTCTTTTTTTTTTTTCCTTTCCAGGGCATTTAACAGGAGAAAATTGATAGCGTTAACATTTGAGCTAACCTCGCAGCTCCTAGCTGCGTTTTATATGCCAAGAGGAGGGGAAGGAGACGCTCGGTAAATACAAATCCGTGGGCATTCATATTATTTACATTCCTTGGAGACCTCCTCTATTTAAAATGATAAGATTATTCAATCAGGATGGTGAAATAAAGAGATCACTTAATTTTACCACAGGGAATTCTGTTCCACTTGGTTAGCTCAGACACGGTTCTCTGTCCTAACCAATTTCCATCTGAAGGGGAGAGCGGCTCCGCGCCCCGCCGGGTCCCCGTGTCCCCCCCCGTCCCCCCCTCCATCCCCGGCTCCCCGCCAACCCCCGCTCACCTTGAAGAAGCCCTTACAGCCCTCGCAGGTGCGGACGCCGTAGTGCTGGCAGGCGGCGTTGTCCCCGCAGACGGCGCAGAGCCCCTCGTTGGAGGGGGACCCCCGGGAGGGGGGCGAGGGCACCTGGCTGTCCAGGAGCTGGGGAGCGTGGCCCAGCTGCAGGCCGGGGAAGGCCATGGAGGGCTGCTTGCGGATGGGGTTGGGGACGGCGAAGGCCTGCCCGTCCACGGCGTGGTGGGCCCCGGCCGGCTCGGGGTTGATGGGGACGTGGAGGGGCCCGTCGAAGCGCATCTGGCAGCTGGAGACGGGGGTGCCGGGGGGGGATTGCTTGAAGGAGAAGAGGGAGAGGCGGGAGACGGGCGTTTTGCGCTGCTCGATCATGTGCGTGGTGGCCACGTAGTTGGGGTGGAAGTTGTGCAAGGAGCCGGGGTCGTCCCACACGGGGCCGTGCTGCACCTGGAAGCCGGGGGTGGCAGGGGTCGGGGGCGAGGAGGGCTTGTAGTAGACGGAGCCCGAGTGGGACATCATCTCCTCGGATTGTGGGGGGAGGTGGCCGTGCTGCTGGTAGCCGTGCATCTGAATGTCTTCCACCTTAATGGAGGACTGCTGGCCGGCGAGGGGCATTTGGTACAAGCAAGGCGGTTTGACGTCGTAGCCGGCGTTGTAGTTGTCCATAAAGGTACTGAAGCTGGGGAGAGAAGTGGTGGCGGTGATTTCGGTGTTGGTGAGGTCCATGCTAAACTTGACAAACTCCGGGGTTAGGAAATCGGAGCTGTATTCTCCCGAGGAAGAAGATGAAGAAGAAGAAGAGTGGTAGCCGCCGTAGCTTTGGGTGGCCGGGCTGGCTCCTTGAGGTGAGGATCCATACTGAGCCTGAACACAGGGCATGGCTGGAAACGAAATAGGGTCATATAGACTTGGACCACACCATGAAGCTCCCTCCACCCCCTTTAGCATCCCCCCTCGGGGCGCCCGGCGGGGGCTGCTCGGTGCCCGGAGGGGGCGTACGCCCCCTCCGGGCACCGAGCAGCCCCCGCCGGGCGCCCCGAGGGGGGAGAAGGATTTGGGGGGACCCCAGGAAAGGGAGGACACAAACCTTCAGCCGACCTGGAGGTGCTGGTGGAGGAGCCGAGGGCGGACAGCGTCGGAGATCAGCGGCGGGCAAGTTTTAAAGCGCTGAGGAGGAGGAGGAGGAGGAGGAAGGCTCCAGCCCGCCCGGTGCGCTGGCTGCAAAGAGAAGAGAGGAGGGAGATGTCCCTTTTAGGATGGGGGGTGTGTGTGGGGGGACACCCGGGGAGATGCTTTTCGGGAGCAAAGATATCCCTTATCCCGGGAATAGTCACCCGGGGGATGATTTTCGGGAGGATAAGGATAATCCTTATCCCGGGAATAGTAACCCGGGAGATGCTCTTCGGGAGCACACTCAACGGGAGATGGTCTTCGGGAGCATCTTATCCCGGGAAAAGGGATGATTTTGGGGAGCAAAGATAGCCCTTATCCCGGGAATAGTCACCCGGGGGATGATTTTCGGGAGCACTGATATCCCTTATCCCGGGAAAAGATACCCGGGGGGTGATTTTAGGGAGCACTGATATCCCTTATCCCGGGATCATCCTTATCCCGGGAAGAGACACCCGGGGAGATGCTTTTCGGGAGCAAAGATATCCCTTATCCCGGGAATAGTCACCCGGGGGATGCTCTTCGGGAGGATAAGGATAATCAACGGGAGATGGTCTTCGGGAGCATCTTATCCCGGGAAAAGGGATGATTTTGGGGAGCAAAGATAGCCCTTATCCCGGGAATAGTCACCCGGGGGATGATTTTCGGGAGCACTGATATCCCTTATCCCGGGAAAAGATACCCGGGGGGTGATTTTAGGGAGCACTGATATCCCTTATCCCGGGATCATCCTTATCCCGGGAAGAGACACCCGGGGAGATGCTTTTCGGGAGCAAAGATATCCCTTATCCCGGGAATAGTCACCCGGGGGATGCTCTTCGGGAGGATAAGGATAATCCTTATCCCGGGAATAGTAACCCGGGAGATGCTCTTCGGGAGCACAGATATCCCTTATCCCGGGAATAGTCACCCGGGAGATGCTCTTCGGGAGCAAAGATATCCCTTATCCCGGGATCATTCTTATCCCGGGAAGAGACACCCGGGAGATGCTCTTCGGGAGCACTGATATCCCTTATCCCGGGAAGAGATACCCGGGGGATGCTCTTCGGGTGACATCCCTTATCCCGGGATCATCCTTATCCCGGGAATAGTAACCCGGGAGATGCTCTTCGGGAGCAAAGATCCCTCATCCCGGGATCATCCTTATCCCGGGAACAGTCACCCGGGAGATGCTCTTCGGGAGCAAAGGTATCCCTTATCCCGGGAAGATGCTCTTCGGGAGCAACCATATCCCTTACCCCGGGATCATCCTTATCCCGGGAAGAGACATCCCGGGGAGATGCTCTTCGGAGTGTTCCCGGGACCAGCGACACCCCACCCGGGCACGGACACCCGGGAGATGCTCTTTGGGAGGAACGACATCCCCACCTCGGGCGTTGATACCCGGGAGATGCTCCTCGGGGTGTCCCCGGGAGGGAGGAACGACCCCCCGACGGGGCACGGACACCGGGGGGATGCTCTTCGGGGGCAGCGACATCCCCCTCCCGGGCGCAGACACCGGGGGGATGCTCTTTGGGGTGTCCCCGGGACCAGCGACACCCCACCCGGGCACAACGACATCACCCCCCCCGCCCCGGACCCGGGGGGACACTCGCTGCCCCGTCGGGGTCCCCGAATTCCACCCCCCCCCACACACACACCCCCCCCCC